TAACATTTTTTCAGACAATTGATACTACTGTCGAGCAAAATTCGGGCCCCCATAACTTTTTAAGGAGAATCATTTTGCAGTTTTGGTTTCCATTTTCGTAAACAGCATTCAAAACTCTATCGATTTATCTGGGTCTGAATTCAAAGTTCCAGGATAAGTAGACTACCTCTCCCTGGTAAGGGATACGCCCCACGAATAAGATTTCCATTGAGAAATGTAGCGCCGTTATCGACCCCGGAGGATGAAAAGCTTGGTTGGCCTAAGCGGATATCGATATGGTATTTGAACCCGTGACCACGGGTTAGTGTAGCGCGCCACTTGCCACTACGCCGCCTGCGCCCGGATAAGCAAATAAATGAAAATAGAAGTCAATAACTTGTGCATAGCCTCTACGATTCATGGTTGACGAGTGGCAAATAGAAGAACTTTTTTTTGCTATTCAAAACTTTTCCTGTCGTGACATACTATTAACTAAAAAAATCAATAATTGGATAGGATCTGCCTAAATTCAAAATTTACAAACTTTCAAAGTGCTGCGTAACAAACTTTGCTAAGGAGCGACAACAAACAGATAACCAGTATACCCTAACGGCATAAAATAAGCAATAATCAATACAATAACTTGTTTGCTTAGAAAGGAAACAAGGCGCCGAAGTATAACGCCAGAGCAGGCCGTTCGTGTGCTACCGGTTCTGCCCAGTCATAAATGTGGTAAGAGATGGCAGGTTGATATGGAAGAAGAACTACGTAGATGGAAAAGTCAGATGGACTTTTCAAGTGCTATCTTCGTCAAAAATAACGATCGCTAACTTTGAAACGGTAAAAAACCGCTAGGAGCGTGACGACAACGGCGTCAAGTTATGCCTCACATGATGTGTCAGCCGGTTGGGGCCCGATATCTGTAGCGAAATCTTGTCATTGAAATGCATGTATAAAACTTGAAGCGTCGTCGTTGGATCGATAAAAGGAGGTCCGTTACTCTCGCCTTTTTTTTACTGGTAGAAAAACTCCTCAGAGTAAAGATGCGTTCCCCATTTGGCGAAAAAACTCCGCTTGCAAAGTATCAAAGAAAAGTTCGTTAGGCAAGGGCGGTTTCTCAAAAAAGGGTCTCAGAATGGTCTTTTGGCTTTGCAAATTCTTTCTAAGGAAATCATCTGGGTATACTATTTGCCCTAAGAAAAACATTTGTGTAGACTGGCTGTGAAATGCCATTTCAACCCATCTACTCGCAGTTTGATTATTTTTTTCCTGGAGTAGGACATGCTTTTTCCCATCCAGGTAATTCGATATCGCCTGTGTACATTTGCATCCTGAAGAGAGGTCTTGATAAGTATTGGAACCATGCACCTCTATAGTACAGGAGCAAAAAAGGGGAACTGGTATTGCAGGACAACACTTGCCCACTCTTGCGCTCTAGGGTAAACTCTGATTCACCTTCGCGGTTGCTTAGATACCAGCTGATCCAGTGCAGTAAGGATCCCTAAAGCTAGAGAGCTCCAATTTCCAGAAGGGGCACAGGGCTATCAAATTCATGGAAAGATTCGACTGAATCGAAAATCAAAATGAGTTTTGGGTTTGGGACTGTATTACGGTCAAAAAACCATCGTCGGATTTGTTGCAGTCAAAACATAAGAGAAGAAATATGATCTGGAACATCCAATGCGAGCATAACTAAGGCTATCTCTATCTAGCAAACTCATTTATTCTCTTTACCTTGATCACCGTCAGGGTTATTCCAATAGGTAATTAAATAACACTCTTTGAATAAAGCAGTAAAAGTCCGAAAAGCAAAGATCATTCTCTATCTTTGGGAGCTTTACCGAGTGTTGGATAGAAAATAAAGGATAAATTCGCTTTCTTTGATCGATCCCTTTCCGGGATTCGCCCTCGCAATCGACTTCCATTCAGAGCCGTAGTGACGATTTCAGTGCTTATATGGCCTATACAATGATATGCAAAGGTCAGCCGGTGTAAGAAGTGTATGAATCAGTGCTTTTATAGTAATAGACAAGTTTGGTACTAATCAACCGGTCCCGAAGGTATTTGAGGCCTGGTCGTCCTAGGCTGGAATCGATCCGAAATTCGATCTCCAGCCCATTCGGCGGTAGTCTCGCTAAACATTACACT